CACTAAAGTTTATTTTTGATAAAGTCATATTGTCTCCTTCGTTCACTGTAATATCATTATCATTTTCTTCTTCATCCAATTCAAATTCGTCAATAAAAATCATATGTTGTTTGTGAGTCTTTAGATATTTTCGAATTTATTTTTAATTGACTACAGACAAATTTACTTCATGATTCTATATCAAAAAGCTGTTAGCGCAATCTCTGTGGGATTAAAATGTGAAACACGATATACCTATTGTTACTAATTCCCTAAAAGCTTGTCTTTGTTTTTATGTATATTGAAGCATTTATCGCAATCATTCCTTATCTTACTACATAAAACTTCAACAATGAAATACTCTCTACATAGATATTAATTATATGTTAGTTCTACATAGCTCCTAATGGTTTCTTGAAGCCGTCTGTTACTGTGTGTGATGGATTCATGCCGTGTATGTTACGGCCTGTGGGGGAAGGAAGAGTGGGTACAAATTTCTAGCCTATATACTTTAGCACTCCTTTTATATCGTATTTCACACAATTACCTAAACCTATATAGGACCAAATATACATGTCGATAAGTATTTAGAAGTACGAAGAAGTATGATGAAGTACAAAGAAGTATAGGGAAGTATGGAAAAGTACGAAGTCTGCTTGTTTTCTCTTGACAATAGTCGAAAAAAAAAATACTATCGATATTAAGGGGTCCCCAAGGACTGAGAAATAGGAATTCCTTCACTGTTCTTGATTACTAAAAGAAAAAAAATTTCCATGATATTTTTTGCTTTCAGTTTCACATTCACATTCTTCAACGACTTTATTAACATGATTATGCAGGTATGAAAACTAGTGCAGAAAAAGCATCACTTTGGCTTTGATGAATGGCAGAACTAATGGTCAATTCTCATTTCTCAACAGCTTAGGAATTTCTTTTTCACAGCTCTTAAACATTGCTGCTAATCGCACTTGTCAAATTAATCTGCCATTAATTTACATAAAACGATGGAATAAATCTGAAATTGTCAGCATATTATATTCTTCATATTTTACTTATTTCAGCAAGTCTATTTTCGAAGAAAATCTCGTGGAGCTAATGAATCTTGATTCAAAGTCTCTGAATTATAGTCTTGAAAATAGAGTCGACCGTCAGAGCACTTAGCAATGATTTTTATGTCGGTGATATCCAATGGCATATGAGTACAAATTAGAGAATACAGATTCGAAAGTCATTTCAGCGGAAGGAGATAAACTAATGATAACTTGAAAAAAAAAAGTTAAATTGAAAAGCAAATCTCTTCGACAACGTATTTCTTTTCGTTATATTAGCTAGCATAGCAGTTACATTCTCGTAGAAACTTCGCTAGTGCACACCGATTAATTGATTTGTAGCTTTTATAAAACTATTCTTTTGGAAGAGAAAGATTTGAAGCACATTGATTCATAGTTCATGCGTTATTGATATAGCATTCAAGGTTCTCTTACTCTATTCTGTTATTTTGTTGGAGTGAATCGAGGCAATTGCACGTTGTATTCACTCGGACAGATGAGAAGCACAGAACTGTCTTTCAAAAGATACTATTGATTTTACAACACATTATAAATAATGAATCATTATCTTTCAAATCTTTTCTTACAAAAGAATAGTTTTATAAAAACTACAAATTCTTTGATCCATGTATACCAGTAAATTTTCTACAAAAACGTATTTGCTATGCTATTCAATATGATCCATAGAAACACATTGCCAACAAGTTTTATTTATCAATTTAACTTTGTTTTTCAAGCTATCACTACTTTGTTTTCTTTCGCTAAGTAGAGTCGTCGAAAAAAATTCTGATACTAGCTAAAACGTGCCTAAACTTTAATACTCTAGTCTCATGATTGTGACTACAGACATAGCATGTTGAACTCTGATCGTAAGGATTAATCGAGACTTAATCGATCTTCACCCAAAATAGCTAGAAGATCAACATAAATTTTTTCTTTAGACAAGGATATTTCAATATAGAAAATAAATCTCATGACGTTAGACCATGAAATATTCTTTGGGTAATTCTCACATGATAGTTGGCGTGGATCGTCGAAAAAAGACCGATATCTCCGGCTAACTTTAACTATTAGTCTTAAAATCTTCTGTAGTAAGTTCCCTGCTCTAATCAAGTTGTCCCTGAAAATTTCATAATCGCAGTCATCCATAGAGATGAAATGCATGCTGAGACCGTCCCAGACAATGGAGGCTTTCTCGCGCTTCAAAGTTACAGCAGGTTAAAGTTTTCTATCTGTAACACAATATAGGCATATGAATCTTTATTTATTAATAAGAAAATGGCGGTTCACGCATTTAAATAATGAAAAACCAGAAAAGTGTCGAAAAAGCTTTTTTTGGGCGCTAGTGAAAAACTAGTGTTTTCATCGTAAATCTCTTGCATTAAAGCTGATCGACCTCGGGTTGTTGCCTGAGATCAATGTTTACAAAGTTCCATTTATAGTCAAAATATTAGACAAAAGGAATGAAGTTTGTGTACTCTCTACTCGGTAGCAGAACTCCTTGCGACTACTATGCAGGATTAGACGATAAAAAACTTACTCGATTTAGTAATATTCTTTCTGCATCTGTAACATTCAGTTTTTTATTCGATTCTTCTTTCAAAAGATAGAGTTGGCAAAAAAAAAATATTAGACAGTGATATTTTATTTTTTTGTCGAAAACATTTGAATGTAGTTGGAGAGAAAAAGAAAATTTATTAAATATGAAATCTGTGCTGGAACGGTGTACCCTCACCGAGAAGCAAAAGGAAATCTCTGAATAATAAAACTTTTTCACTCTCATAGAATTATTCAAGTTTGATGATAATTGCTATTTTATGCATCTTGATTACACTATACTTTGTCTTTCACTCTGAAATTAAGACTTGTCAATTATTTATACATATTGTTACACCCATTGAAATATTAACTTATAGAACAATATGTAACTCTCCTATTGTGCAAACATTTTAATAAAAGTAGCAAACTAGCAATTATTCAAAATAATTTCTGCATGTACTTAAACTGTGAACGTCTAGAAATATAGTCTGATAATTTCAGATCATTATATTAGTGTTACAACAAGATCAAAAAATAGCAAGGATGCTTTTTGTTGCAAAACAGAATTCATTTTTAATGGATTTCTTTTTTCTTTTGTCTTCATATGTAATGCAATGTTTTTAAAATGAAATCAAATCTATTTAGTAGCTTTTTCTCAGTTCTCCCGTTTACAACAGATATTAGTTCGAAAATTGAATGTTATCAGTACATAAAGTATTTTTTTATGCGGAGTTAAGTGTTTTATGGCGCACTTAAGATATTTTTTAAAACTGTCCTTTCTTGTTTGTACTTATATAATTTGGTAATTACCAATATCTACATTATTTCTACGTGTTGTGATAGTCGACTCTGTTTTCAAGACTGCAATTCAAAGATTTTGAACAAAGATTCATTAGCTCGAAAAGATTTTCTTGAAAAATTTGCAAATGAATTAATTAAATTAATCTTGAAATCGATGCACTTCATTGAAGATTAGATTTCATTGTTCGACAAACTTTTTCATCGAAGAATACATATTAGGTCAATTATTTCAAAATAATTTCTCACTAAATTTTGACTAAAGATACACATGATGTTAACCTCTTGAATTTCACAAAAAAATAGACGTACTCAAATAAATAAAATATACAGAATAAAAGATGACGATAGTTTTTGATTAATTCGATGTTTGATTAGACTTCATCAAGTTTTATTTATGGTAGAAATTGAAAGGAAAATTATACTTGTTCAAATAGTTTTTGTCTGATGTTGATAGTATTTTTTTTTTCGATCATTGTACTTTTCCGGAAAATTTCAAACATAAAGAAAGAAATAACAATTTCTATATACAATCTCTATAATCACTGATCCGAAATCATTTTTCAGGATGTTGATCCGCATATTCATTGAAAGTATAGTACAATAGAATATTAATATATTTGTATTAGATGTCACTATTAGAGATGGAACCGATCTGTTGTTTTGACCACTGATACTGGTACCTGTCTGAACAAGTCAGACTGAACCAGACTAGTCGATCATCGGTATCGGTTCTATCGTTGCAATACAACATGAATTTTTACATAATTAAACATGTTCTGGAATTTTTATTTGTAGTTGTTGATATTTTTTGTGAAGATTTTGTACTTAAAATTCTTGAAAAAAATCCTAATTGTGATTCAGTTTTGATCAATTTTTTTGTTGAATGACTACTTGAATTTGTTTCAATTGTAGAAAGATGAATACCATTTTGATAATCAAAAAATGATTTTGAAGTTATTATTTGATCTTCATCAGATATTGATGAAATAGATGATGAAATACGACTAGTACTTCTTGATAATGATAAAGATGATGATGATGTTGATGATGGCCAATTCTCACTATTAAAAGATTGATTAGATGCTGTTTCTTGATGATAATATGTTGTTAACATTTTAGTAGGAATTGAATGTGCATTAATATGAATATCACTTTCATTCAATGAACTTGTTTCAATATTTCGTTGAGATATTGATGATGATTGTTCGTCAGATGATGATGCTCCATCATCAGAATGTTGCTGTTTTTTGAGATTATTTTTCGAACTTGTATAATTTAATTTTGTATTATCGAAAGTCGATTGATCAATAGATGAATAATGATTATTTGATATTGTTGAATCATCTATTATTTTAATAATAGGAATTGTACGATCAATTACATATGTTTTGACATGTTTAATATCTTCATTTATTTTTACATCCGTTGTATTCATTAATTCACTATTCATGAATACTGATAATTCATCAGGATCAGAATTTGATTTAGTATATAAAGAAGAATTTGTATTTGTTGATGTTTGAAAATGTTCAACATATCGAAGAGATGTAACTATTGAATTACCGTTTGTATTCGTATAATTAATCTTAGATGGACAATGTTTAATACCAACGAGACTTCGTCGAGATTTAATTTTTGAATTTGTTGTATCTGAAGAGAAAAAAAGAATTTTTTTTTTTTGGTTTTAAACTAATACAAAAAACAAAGCAAATATATACTTTGAATATCTTCTTCATTTTCAGTTTGTTTCTTTTGAGCAAGTATGATTGTTTGACAACCACCACAAACAACTTTTAATACATTATATCCTTTAAATTTATTAATAGAACGTGGTTCAAATACATTTGAATAAGTTTCATAACTCAGTTTGCCATATTTACCATCACCAAATGCATATATATTACCATCATGACTAAGAATAGCTGTATGAACTTTACCAGCAGCTATAGCTGTAACATATTTTGGTAAATTTTCAATCATTTTAAAATGTTCTGCAAATAAAATACTAGGACCAAGGCCAAGTTGGCCACAATCACCTCGTCCTATTAATTAAAAATTTCATAAATTATTTAGTATCATATTTATTGGCAAAAGAAAAATAAAATTTATTCAGACTATTTCTACAAAATAAAAAGTTTTCTCTTGTTGTTTAAATCGAAAATGAAATAACATCTTCTACAATCTTTGTGTTTCTTATACATCTAGTTCAATCTCAATTTTAAAAAACTGTTAGAACAATCTTTACCGGATTAAAATTTGAAACATGCGATGTTTCCTGTTGTTGCTAATCACAGGGAAATAACTGTATTCTATACATTTTGGAATACATATCTTCACCATACTGTTATTTAATCCTCGAGAAATGCAATAAAAAAGTAGTTCATATATTATAACGAGATGTTATTGATATATCCGGTCTTTGATCGTATATCAAGAACATCTATTTCAAGACTCCTTTGCGATCGTGTTTCACAAAATGAAAAAAAAAAGACTATAAATATCGTACCACATGTATAGACTTCTCCTATGTTTGTTAATACAACAGTATGTTGATTTCCACATGCAATAGCTATAACAGGATCTGGTAATGAAACTTCGAATGGACCAACATATTGAGTCGGTATTGAACATCCTAATTGTTTATCACTATTATTTCCAAATAGAAACACTCGACCACCTTCAGTAATTAATGCTGTATGATAATATCCACATGATCTAAAAGAAAAATTTATAAATGTATTTTTTTTTTCTTTATTTTATGAATTTACATAGCAATGGTAGAATATTCTAATCGAAGTTTTGTTGGTATCCTTATAATATTATGTTTACGTGCTTGTCCACATTGACCATCTTCATTTAAACCCCAAACATAAACTACACCATTATTATCTAATACACATGTATGTTTAGCACCCATTGATATTTGTTTCCAAGACATTGTTGAATGAAAATATTCAATTTTAACAGGATAAGGATAAACAGTTGTTGATTCTTTTGATTCAATACCTAATTGACAATGATTATTTGAACCAAATGCATATAATGAACCTTGATTTGTAGCAACTAATGATGAATCATGACCACATGCAGCTAATATAACTTTTTCACCTGTATTAACAAATTTTAAACTTTTTATATATGAAACTTTTTCTGTATAATTCATATGACCAAGACCCAATTGACCTAAATATTTGAAATAAAGAAGAAGAAGAAGAAAAAAAAAGTTATGCTTTTTTTTTCTGTTACCTGAATTATTATCACCAAAAGAATATGTACGACCACTTTCAGTAACAATAATTGTATGTCTATCACCCGCCGCCATATGTATAATAGGATCATTTCGAATATAAAATTTTTCATTTTTAGTTAAATATGTTCTACCTAATAGATAAATTGTTGAAGCATTATGTTCATTTTCATGATCATTTTCCATTTTACTTCTACTTTTCTTTTTATCAATATGAATAGATGTAAGAAACAAATTTTGATTATCTGAAATTACAAACTATAAAGAAAAAGAAAAAACACCAACGCATAGAAATCTATATTCATACATCAATAATGCATTACTACTTATCATTATCATAATTGTAAAATTTACATAAGAAATATCATAATTTCAAATGAAAATATCTTATTAAATATTGGATAGTATGATTTTCATGATAATATTTTACATATAAATGATGATAAAATTCGTGTAATTCTTAAAAGTATATTTCTTTTCATTTTATAATAATGTCGAGGTAAATCAGAAGAATACATGACATCAATGTTGAAGATAAAAAGAAACACTGCTTTAGCAGACTTTTTTTTTTCTTTTATGTCTTTTGTTCTTTTTTGATGATTAATACCAAGTACATCATCAGATATTAAATAGTTTCTATTTACATTTACGATTTATATTTCATTGTTTCAAACAAGATAATATTTCTTTTTAAAAACAAAAGCAGTTATTGTTTCTCTCCATTGAATTTTATTATCCAAGTGTACTTAGATATTGTATTGCATGCATATTTATGACTTTACATAGTATATTGATAAAGCCTACTCAATTTAATGTACAGCTATTATAAAAAACTTGAATGAATCAAAATATATTGATATCTATATTATATTTTCAACACTCAATTGACATTATTTTCATACTTTATAAGATCTGAATAATATATCAATTCTATCCAAAACGTATATTTTATTTTCTACACAATTAAATCTTAGATGAACAAATCCGAATGAAATGGCAACATAATTTATTAGTGCACGAACATTTCTTGACTTCTATGTAACATACACACACACACACATACACATTTATCAAAATAATATAAATGAAGAAAGAAAAACGAAAGAGAACAAAAAAGTAAAACAAAGGAATTTCTTTTTTTTTTCTTCTTTCTATAATACAATTTCTTTTCACTTTTATTGTCGATTCGAAAGAGAGAAGTACTTTCTTTTTTTTTCTCAATATAAGTATACAAAAAAAAAAAAAAACAAATAAACAAGAGTAATAATAGTAATAAGTATTTAAGTACATATCAAGAATGAAAAATTCATTTAACTGTAGATAATAAACGGAACGAAATCAGTCAATTTGTCATTTTTCTTCATCTAACACCGGCTACATATTAAGAAGATCTTGAATATATTTGATTTGATATTAAAAATAAAATCTTTTTTTTCCATCAAAATAGAAGTTTTCTATCTTCATTTATTGATGTATATTTTTTAAATAAGATTTTAAATCTTTTAATCTTGTACACATATATATTTGTTATTTTTTATAAAGTAACTTGAGCAAGTTCGAGAAATTTCATTAAATCTTTTACAGGTACATTTCGAGCTTGAGCTTTTAAACGTAAATTTCGATCATCTGTTATAAGCACAACTTCACGATGTAATCGAATAGCTCCATCTAAACCAAAAAAAAAACATTTTACTTACGAAAAAACATACTCAACTGTTCATCACCGATCGAAGTGATATTTTGTTCATATAAGTAGGATTTACAAGAGAACTTCTTCAGCTGCTTTCTTCTAATTTCAATGATTTTTTGCATAGTGTTCTAATAAAAAGACTAAAAGGCTTTGGGTTTCTATTGATATTTGACTAAGCTATTCTCAACCAGATGGACTTTCATAAAAAATTCAAAAGTTTTGAACAAAGTCTCTTCAAGATATAGATCCTTTTCTTTAGATAGTATATACAATATGCATTCTTTGAAAGTTTCATATCTCGAAAAGACTTTGTTCAAAACATCTAAATTTTTTTTTACGAAAGTTAGTCTAGTTGAGTTGTCTATAGCCGCAAAGTTTCAGATGGAAATTCGAAAATACGAGTTTTCCGAAAAATCTGGAATCCTACAAGAATCTCTTGGAAAAAATTCAATAGTTTAGTCAAATCTTAATAGGACTCCAAACTCTTTTCGACTTTTTATTAGAACACTGTAGTACCTGTAGGCAAAAGATTATTGAAACCGGAAGAGGATAGCTGAAGAGGTTCCCTTGTTAGTGTGAGACTAGAAAAAACCTAAGAGAATTTCCCCCCATAGACGTTCTGTATGGCGTTATGACCATTTTATCGAATTTTCGACTTATGGCAAGATATTTATAGAAAAATCAAAATGAAGGACTTTTCAGGACCAGTCATGGCGGGCTATCAGCAGACCGACCAATAACCGGTATTGGTTCTATCTCTGACTAAGGAAATCTTTCTTTTTGGCTTTTCTAGTCTCAGTGAGCCCTACTTATGAGTGAAACATCGCTCCGATCGACAATTAATAGTTTGATATATTCCTTCGTTAGTTTGACTAAAAACAAAATTACCTTTATTTGCCGGAAAAAATTCTCTTGGATTATCATGACACTAAAAAAAAAGGAATTCGATAGAAAATCAAAAACAAAAAATCCTAGATAAACAACATACATATTTCAAACAGCATCCTAAGATTGTATCATCATTTGATTCCTATGAGAATAAATATTGAAAATAAAATTTTTTTGCTATATTGTTTTATTCTTACATGTTTTTTCACTTCATTTCGAAATTGAATAGAATCTAAAACTGTTCCTTCACCAGTCATAGCTTGTACACGTCGTTCTTTACTAGCAAAACATTCTTCAATCATTTTAACAGCTTGTATTGATTGTCGACGAACCATTTCTGCATGTTCATATGAATCATCATCAACAATTGTTGTTACAGATAATTTATCAAGTTCACAAATAACTAAAAAAAAAAAGAGTAAAAATCGAATTTTTCCTCTTTTTTTTTTGACTAACCAATTAATGGAATAATTATTATAAATCGACCTTGTTTAATTAATTTATATATAATAGGAAGATAATTAACAAAACAATTTGTATCAAGAACAATGAAACGTGGTATAACTTCAATTTCAATTAATCGTGATGTATTGAGAATATCCTAAATAAATAAATATATAAATTTATTCAATGATTTATTATCTTACTTTAACAACTTGTTCTTGTTTTTGTTTTTCAGCTAATTGATGTTCAAGTTGTCGTTTTTTACGTTTAAGTTCTTTCATATCAATACCATTAACAATTGAATCTGTTGATGATTGATCAATATTATTTGAATTTGATAATGGCGATACAGGTTCATTGCTATTGTATTCATGATCCATTGATAAATTCTAACGACAAAAAAAAAAATTATGTTTTTGATTTTCATTTAGAAAAAAAAATAAAACATTTACCTGATTATCATTTGTTGGACTTTTACTTCGTTCAGAATGTATTGATGATTTTAAAGCTGGATGATAAGTTTTTTGTTGAACATCATAAATAAATACTGGTTGTTTAAGACCACATAAATAATCAGCAAAAAAACATAAACGAACAATACGTTTTGAATCTTTTGCTTCATCCTTAAGAATATAAAAATAGATATGTTTTGATAAATTTTATAAAAATATTTTTCTTTTATATTACAAGTGGTGTATCACTTATTGTTTGTAATGTATCAGCTGGTAATGTAAGTAATGGATAAAATCCACTAAGTTCGATATCTTCTTCCAAAATAACTGGTACTGAATCTTAACAAAAAAAAAAAATAATAAAAATAAATTTCTTTGATGTTTTTTTTGTTTTTATTTCTACGTACTTGTTAAATTCGAACCAAGTTGAATATATGTTCTATCAATAGTTCGAATTAGATTAATAACTTTTGCAAGTGATATTAAAATATCTGGATGTGGACCAAATTCAGCTGGTAATTGATCAGGTAATGGTATAAATGAATTAGCATTACATGTCATCCAATCAGTAAAAATTTTTAATGATGGAAATACATGTCGTAACCAACTATTAAATATTGGTGGTGGTGGTGGTGATGGTGTTTCAGAATTATTAATTGTTGAACGAGTTTTTAAATGACGTTCAAGAATAATAGCGGTTTGTTCAGTTAATAAACCAAACATATCAAGTGCTAATTGAAGTGATGATTCTTCATATTGAGAACGAACAACAATATCAACTTAATAAAAAAAAGTTAAAAAAATTTAGTTTTTAGTTTTGAAAATTTTTTAGATGAAATGAAAAAGCCAGCGCAGATATTCTTCAGAGATGAAATCGGTTACCGGTGTGCAGGGCTGGCCCGACCGGGGGGGTGTGGGGGGTGGAACACCCCCCCAATAATTACAAATTTTCTGATTTTTATTTCTTAAAGGGTTATGAATTATATACATTAAAGAATCAATAAAGTTAAAAAGAATGATAGAAAATTGATGCGTAGAGTTTATTGCATAAAACGCAGGAAAGAATGTTATATCTTTTTCTTTCATTCTGGCTAGTATAAATATGATGCTCGTAAGTTGGCGAATAGGCTTTTAAAAAATATATATACATACAACTCAATATGATGATTGACCTATAGTGCTTCTTTCTATATCCATTAGGGAGAGCAGTAACTATAATAGAATGAATAAAAGATTAAATGACTGCTATTAAATACATGTAATTTTTTTCAAAATTCAAAGGTTTTTTTTATTTAATTCAAGCTTTCGGTGATCACTGTCACCATTATCAAGAAGAAAATATATAACAAATAAGAGAGAAAAAACTATTCTATATACAGTAAAATCTCTATTAGTGAACACCTCTGCATAATGAACACCTCCTGTTTGAACACATATCTCGGTCCTCCTGATCGATTTTTGCTGCAACTAGACCTATACATAATGAACACCTCCCAACTCTGAACATGAACACGATTTTTTGGTCCCTTCAGCACAGATAACCTCTATATAGTGAACACACATTGAACAAGGTATGCGTGTGTTTGTGAAACAAGAGAAAAAAAGAGAACACAGCGTTCAATCTGACACAATGATAGGCCCAGGACTACCATTTCTTGTTTTACAAATGGGGTTTATGAAAGTCCAAATGGGGTACATTTGGGGTACATTCGTTTTTAGAACGGGGTACACTCTTGGGAGACATTATTTTTCTTCTAAGATAGACGATTTAATTGAGGAAACCAATGAAACAAAGCTTCTTTTGTAGAAAATAACACAATATTTCACTATTTTAATAACTGGATCAGCTTTATTGTTCGTTTCCCCTCAAAAAGCATCACACTAGTTTATTCGTGACGGCTGTTGCAAAAGTCCTGGGACAAATATGTATTAATTTTTCATTGACTAAAACAGGCTTCCAAAGAATCGAAAATATCTATTCTTGAGAGTCTTTTTCAATTTTCTTCAATTCCTTCTAGTATTTTGTCGTTGTTTCCCCGTTAGATGCGTCGTTTGATTCTGTGAGAACCAGGTAAAAAAAACCGATGACATTACTTCAGGCAGCATAATCGAAAAATTAAAAAGAATGATCTACAGAATAACATCAAAACCGAATTTCTAACGATAATGAGCAGAAAGTGTTTTGAGATTCGAATGACGTCCTCGAAAAGACAGAAATCAGGCGAACTAGGAACCACGAGAGATCTGAAAAACTCGCCTGTTAATAGGCGAGACTTCTTGTAGTACAAATTCTTAGAAACGACAAACTTCAATATCGCACAAAAAAAACAAATAGCAACTAAAAGACGCTAAGACCACAGACACCGATTTTTCAAGTGTTACCTCAAGAAAACAGCAATATTTTCGCGACGGCTTCTTCACAGTGAATGGAATGATCTAATAGGGAAAAACAATAAGCAAAATTGCGTCAAATAAACTGAAGAAGTTCATGAAATTCGAATGGCATAGTAACTTTGCAGTGGCCTTTTTCCTTTTTCACTTTGCATTTTTCTGTACTCAAAAAAGTGTTCATTACTTGAAAAATGAGTCGCGATAGAATATTCTTGAATATATACAGTTAAAAAGAGCTTTTGACATGAATTCCAGATCGGTATTTTCAATCTTTCGGAAATATATTTTAGTCGATGAGAAATGGACACATTTGTATTTGTCCAAGAAGTTTTGCAAGAGTCGTTAGAAACAAATAATGAAAAAAGAAGAAATGAGAAAAGAAAAAAATTTTATTTAAACTTTTTGCATTGTTCATAGTAAAAATAGTGTATAAAGACGAAAAGTTTAGGACTAAATTAAACAAGATGGATGCTTATATCTATTAATTGGTTCTTGACTAATACATTCTATTATAAATGTTCTTATGAAAATGAGAAAAATCTAGCGGAAACATAACTTATTTCATCAGAAGATTAGTTAATCGCACGGAACACTTAAAAGTCGAAATGGGGTATTGTACCCCAAAATGGGGTACGGTTGGCAGCCCTGGTCAAGATGATGATAATAAAAAAATTGTAATTGTATACGAACGGAATAAATAGAAAGGACAAGAAGAAATTCGTTTTCTATTATTACATAGTATCTTTGACAAAATTTTTTTTACACCCCCCCAAAGTTTGCGGAGTCGGGCCAGCCCTGCCGGTGTGTCTTATTAAATACAGATGGAATAGGACGACAACTTATCTGTCCAGTGTCGCTATGAATTTCAGACCGACCAGTAAACCAGTCGTGAAAAATCCAGATTGATTCTATCACTGTTCTCCCCATTGGAGCTAAAATATGGAACTCACATGTGTTCTTCAACCTTATTATACTAATACAAAATGTGTAAAGTGAAAAATCTCTAATACACCATAGCTGTTTTCCAAGGATAATCGATCGTCAGGGAAACGATCTATATTATTTATTGCTGCTATTCGCTCATTATTTTCTCTTTTGATTAATTTAACATTACTGTTATTCTAACCATTGATTTAACTGATGCATAAAACTGTTGTACATATCTATTATATATATATATATATATAGAGCAGATCTGAACGCACTATTATATACCTTGATAAGCTCATAAAAATTGATATTGATTATTTCTCAAAGTTATAACTTAATCAACTTACGCTTTTTATGTTAATCATATGATTACTGTCGTGAATCAATGCATCATTTTCTTGACGTCTTGAATAGCAATTTTTATCTATGCAAAGCTTTAGAATGCTCTAGCACAATCTAACTATTATTGTTAATATGCCTTTTTCCATTGTTGAGGAACTCTAGAAAGGGTGTTTGGAGCGTGTTATCCTCGATTGCTACGGAAATATGCTTAGTGGTCAGTAATCTCCCTCTCATAACGGGGGGAGGGGGGGGGGGACAAAATCTAAACTTACATACATTACGGTTTCCTTAGGAAAACATAATTTGAGTTCTATAAAACAATATCTTAAAAGTAATGGTATTTGAAATAATCCCTTTTTTTGTCTTCGTAAAGTTTTATTGAATCCATATATTGACTGAAATCATTGTTAATAAAATACCTGATACATTAACTTGTTTCGCAACTTCAATTTGATACATATTAATAGCCATCATTTGTACTAATTGTTGTTTACCAAATACACATGGATCATGACGAAGTAAATATTGAAATTGACGAAGCATTCGTGAACATAATTCTGTATATGTTTCCATTCTTTATTCAAAAAAAGGAAAATATTTTTTTTAAATTTAATTACAGATTTTTTTTTTTTTGTAATTATCTTACCCTGTTTTAGTATATAATTTACCATGTAATGTAATATAATTCAATATAAACCAATGAATAAGCTATAGAGAAAAAAAATCAATAGAAAAATTGTTTTTCTTTTTTTTTGTTTTTGTTTACTTACTTCTTGTTGAGATACACAACCATCGAAATCATTTTGATTATTAGTCGATTGTCCATCATCAAGACTTCGTCCGACAACTGTTCCATCTGTACGTTTCCATATTTCTAATTTTTGATTACCTATTTAATAAAAACAATATTGTTTTTATTATTATTATTTTTCTTTGATTGAAAAAATTAAATAGACCTGCTCGAATTTTTCGTTCATTTTTTTTCTCACGTTCTTTAAGTTCTTTTTCAAATGTTTCTAACTAAAATGTATAAGACAGAAAAAAAAATTTTAATATTTAAATAAATTCTTAAACATACACGTCGACGAGCTTCTTCAAATAATGAAACAAGATTTTGTTTAACACTATCATTAAGTGTTGTTGTAGCAAGGGCACGAACATAATAATAAATAGCATCCAACCGTCGATGCTATATTATATATATATATATATAAATAGTTATTAGTTTTTCAAAAATTCAAATATTTTTTTTCTTACAGTCATTACAGCTAATATTGCTAATTGTTTACATGATTTTCCATTTTTTGGATATAATAATCGAGCACGAAAATAATATCTAAGTAAGAAAAAAAATAAAATTCGTTTGTTTTTTTTTTTTGTGCTTTCTGTAAGTTTAAACTTACTTTCTTGCTTCAGAATAATCAGTACCATTACGATTTGTTTCTTTATATCTAAAATTAGAAAAATAAAAACAAAAACTGTTTTATTCAGTCATTGATTAAATTAGTTTGTTTTTGCATACCGAGCTAAATCACCAAGGTTAAGAAAACAGTGTTGTGTACAAAGAAGAGCATATTTAGCTACAATAGTATTTAATTCAGGTGAATATACATTTGGATTAAAATATAATTGTGTATCAATATGAAATGCTGATTCAAGTTGACGAATAAAAGCAAGAAAAAATCGTTCACCCTGAAATATTTTAAAATAATATATTATACAATAAAAAAATGATCAAATTTTCCAAATTTATCTCGAATAGATATTAAAAATTGAATACCTAACATAATAAGAATATACTGAAGATTTTGAAACGTTAGTAAATCATTTTCTATGCATTAGTTTACCGTTATACGTAATGATTGACCTGAGTGGGTTACTCAGTCTCGTTGTAAGCTCTTTCAGCGACCGTAATCATCGTCCTGGGAAAGAATACGAAATCTGTGTATACTCCATGTTTTGGTATATTACATGATATACTTTTCCAATGAATAGTGTACGCAATATGTATTTTTTTGAAAGTTTTATATCTCGAAGAGACTTTGTTCAAAAATTTTGAATTTTTTTTTTTATAGAACCTAGTCTAATTGAGTTCTCTGTATAATGCAAAGTTTTAGATTGAAATTCGAAAATATAGCACCTCTAGAAAATAGATATATTAAAAATTTGATAGCTTAGTGAAATCTCAAATAGAAATTCAAATCCTTTTAGGATATTTATTAAAACACTATGTAGTATCTATACGCAAAATCATTAAAATCGGAAAGGACTAGCTGAAGAGGTTCTCTTGGGAGTAAAATAGAAGTTGTATATGGACTCCGTAAATGATCACTATACTGTTTTATGTAATAAGTCCATATACGACGATTTACGATCGTTTATGAGGCCTAGGATTAAACAATTTAAAAATGTGAAAGTTTAGTGGATATTCTAGATTTTTTAAATAGAATTCAAAATAAAGATTGTCTAAAAACCTAAATATCGAAATATTATCTAAGTTGTTGATAGATTTCGAAGAAGAAATATGTAAAAACAAATCGCTCACGAGTATGAGTTCTATACAGATCTTAGGAGAAAACTCTCGAAAATTTTTTCTTTGCTAAATCAAAGAGAAGATTTTGAATGATAAACAGTCCCTATTGAAACAAGACAAAATTCAATTTCAAGAATAACTCTTAATCATTTTCCTATTTATAAGTAGTGTATAAGAAAATTCAGTCTATATCGACTTAATATGTAATCAAATATTTCTTTACTCTTACATCTTCGATAACAGTTTCAATACATTTTTTCACATTATTATTATCAGTTAATTGTTTATCATATTCTCTAAAACGTTCAATAACATTATGAAAACATGATTTCCATAACTGTGCATCAAGATTTTTCGATAATGATAATTCCATATCTGTCATCATTGCATGAATATATGCTTGTTGAAGTGTTATTCTAAAAAAAGCAAAAATCAAGATATTGCTTTTTTTTTGGAGTCCTATAAATCATACTTTGCTTCCATCATTCGTCGAAAATTCACATCCATATGTGGTGAATTGTTTAAATAAATTGATAAAGATTTTTCTAAATTATGTATTTGTGTTAACCAATAATTAAATGCTTGTTTTCTCATTTGTAGAGCTCTAAAAAAAGGATTTTCTAAAAACTAGAATTTAATTAATAAATTTTTTTTCTTACTGTGCAGCTTGTAAAGAAGCATCATTTTGTATTGTATTTCCATATGTTTGATTCCAAAGTTCATGATTAAAAAATTGACTAAGAAAAAAATAAATAAATAAATTTTAATTTATTCGAAAAAGAAAATCAAAAGAAAAAAGAAACATATTTCTTTGTTTTATATTATTAATAGATTAGTTTTGATTATTTAAACAAAGCATGAGCAGCGAGTAGGACACAATAGTAGAAAAAAGAGCAAGAGCAAGTAATTTTTTTTTTTTTATTTAATGGATTAAAAAATTCTTACGATTGATAGCTAGAGAGATAGATACCATGTAGAGTTATTTTCCTTTGAAATAAATATAAAAATTAAATTTTTTCAATACTTACTGTTGATAGAATTCTTGCATTTGTTGTTGAGTACTAGTTGATAATGGTGGCGGTGGTAGTGGTGGTTGTGAAGGAGGATTTAGTGGAACTTTAACAGTTGTTAATTGTTGAATAGGTGGTGTTTTTGGTGTTGGAGCATTTGGATCATACAAAGTACGTGTTACATTAGTTAAACCTCGAAGTGATTGTGTAATAGATTGTGGTTGATTTGAACGAATTGGTTTTTTATTTTGTTGTTGTTTTCGTGTTTGATTATAAAATTGTCTTGGTGATGAATCAATTTCATTTGTATCATCTTGTGATTCTTTATTATTAAGAAATATTAAACCAGCACGAGTTTCAGATGTTTTTTGTTCAGTTAATTTTTGATTTTCAAATGTCATACTTTCAATACGTTTATCAAGATCCTCAAAAAGAAAAAAAGAAATATGAATGAAGATTTTTGTTATGTTTTATTTTTTTTTTACTTACTGTTTCTGTTTCACTACTACTAGTTGCATCTTTTATATTTGAGGATGCTCCATCAATTTTTACTTCAGGTTCAATTGGCTTTTTTTTCGGAGGTTTTCGTTGTGGTTTTTGTTGATAATCATTATCATAATAAGATGGTTCGTTATAATAATATTGATTATTATTATTATTATTATTGTAATAACTATTGAAATTTTTTGAATTTCCTTAACACAAAAACAAAACAAAACAAAAGAATTTTTAGATAAAAGACAAATAAAGAATCTGATGTAGATATACCTGATGTTGGTCGATCATTATTTAATTTTGATGAATATTTTCCTTTAGCAACTGAATATCGTTGAATTTCAGGTTTATTTGAACGATTATTATTTTTATTTGTATTTGAATCTGTTTTATTATTTGTTGCCGACATTGAACGTTTTGTATTTTTGGAAAAGTTATATGATGTCAACAAAATGATATATGATTGTAATTTAAACAGCTGTTGTCACGCGCAAGCTTGTCTCTAATTGGTTTTTTCCTTCTTTCAATATAGAACCTCTCACCATCACAAGACAGAATTTTGATAGATGTCATTGAATGATTAATAAAAATTTCTTTTTTTTCTTTCTGAATGTAATCGATAGAGATCGTTGCTTGAGTAACAACAATCAGAATGTTTAACAAAAAAGAAAAAAAGGAAATCCGGTTCGGAACGTATTGCATTTAGAATCAAATGACAACGTTACCATGGGTTAAATATGATAGTGGACCTTTGTCCGCAAATGGAAATCTTACTGATTTACCATCAAATTGTTTTCCTGTACGAAATCTTTTACGAAGTTCATCATCAAATCGTATGTTTTGATTAGTGATAAAAATTTTTGAAAAAGAAATTTCTGTTTTTTAAATTGTTTCATTTTATAGAACAATGGGTTGTAGCATTACGTGATACAGAACAACGACGTTTTGCTGCTATACTTACAACACTTTCATCACCAACACCATTTGAAACTGATATTGCTCAAAGAGAAACAAAGAAAAAACAACGATGGTCAGGAAAAGAAAAAACAATTGAACATTTATTAGATGGATTTTTTATTGTAAGTTAAAATTTATACAGATTAATTTTCAATTCTATTCGCTAGAATGACGTTTACTAATATCTGAAACTAGATATAAGAAAAGAACTTTTAATTTTATCTCTTGAAACCTAATGGATGGCTCATCAAGAATAGGACATTTTGATTTTCTTTCTTTTTGTTTTTTTTTTGAAGACAGCAATACAGTTTCAAGAACGACTTTCAAGTTTCGACTTCAAAATTTACACGACCAAAGTTCTCCATTAAATTTCTTTAGTGGGCAACTAGTAATATTTCTAGTATCTCCTATTCTGAGATATTTAATATTCGAAATTCTTTTATATGTAAAAGCAAAATTTGTTCATATATTTACATCTCCAGAAAGAAAATACTAGTTGCACTATCCACTAATCTTATTAGGAAGTTTGTTCATGCAAACTTTGAAATCAAAACCCAAAAGTTGATTTTTCACGGCTCCATAGCTTTTTGTTCAAAAAAAACTCAGTAAAATTTTGATATCTTGAGAGCGAAAGTCCGAAAAACTAAACCATCGTAGACTTTTCTATTATTCATCAAATGAATATCGTCTCGGTTGAAAAGTAATTTGATACCTGGAGAGGTTCTCTCGTCAGTCGTTGAACTGAAACTACAGAAAACAAGACAATTATTAAAAATATGTTTAGCTAACATTTTCGCTGAAATTCGAAATATGTTGCAAGATACGTCGTGAAACGTTGCATCTCGTAATATTTCGCAGTTTTGGAAAAAAAAACAATTGGAAGAATAATCTTTCAGGCAAGAATTCAGAAAACGACGTAAAAGACTCTTTCTAGTAACTCTATGCCATTGAGAACAATCTAAAAGTTACATGACTTTATTTAAAATTAAATTCTGCATCCAATGATATAATCATAAATTGATCATCGAGCATATGCTAACTTTTGAAAACATGACTTTCGAAAGTGCATTCAAAACAAAATATCATCAGGTGCTACTTACAAGTCTTTGGCATCTAAACAACATCATTAGGAGTCTTGAGATGACCTTGGGAGTATAGAGAATAAAATTCTCTATTATATGAACTTAGAATCGTGTCTTCAAATAATGTCTCTATTCTGCAAAAACAGAAAATCAAATTGTCCCATTATTTGTGGGCCATCGGTTATTTCTGAAAATTTAATCCTTCAAATTTTGAGCTCTCTATATAAAATTAATGTTGAAATGTGTTTATAAGATTAGCATACATGAACTTTCATAATTAATTTCCACCATATCTTTACTTCTTGACTAGCCATATTTATTGGCATTTCAAGAAAAGAAATTTTACAAGATAATTTTTTTTTAAACGTGAATTACAACATGAGTATAATTTCATTACTTTCTATAACCGGTTATAGTTGATGAGAGTTTTTGTCTATCGCTTTTTTTACATTTTTCTTTCAAAAACTTCTTTTCATTTTTACACATCTTTTACTTCCAATGCTAATAATATATTAAAAACATTTCAGCGAAATTATCCTTAGGCGCTTTGTAACGATTGACTATACATAAGAAAATTACTACAAAAATGTTTTACGACTATTCATGTAAGTCTATAGTGTCTATGCGTTTAAATATTAATTTCACGTGGCAAGCTAGAACTTTGAAACATTGCATATCTTGGCTAAATCGATACGTGACAAAAATTTCAGCCTTCAGCATTAAGAAAAAGTGTGAAAATGCTGCCGATACTTTATCCTCAGTTATTATGAAGCACACTATGCATTATACATGTATTTGGTATTAATTATAGCAAACATAGAGTCGGTAGATATACAATGTTTACATTAATTAATTAGCATAAATGCTATTTCAAACGTGCGACTATTGAAAAAGTATTTTCGAAGTCCAAAGGAATTAGAACCTTGCAAATTATTGATGAAAATTTTTTTAGGGGAGGATTGATCTGCTCAATCCTCTCTCTAAATACGTCGCTGAGAACAATGAAGAGTTTTCGTTCATTTGATTTCTTCTCGAAGTTTTTAATGTTTAAAGACAATTTTTGGATTCTAAAAATGATTCTAATTTCACAGTATACAATGATCACAGGAGAAAATCAAAAATTTTCAGTCACGAAAGAAAAAGTTACCTTTAAATAATATTCTGAAAATTTTCCAAAAAGATTCGAATATAAAAACCTGTACACACTGGATAATTTCTTATTCATAATAATATTTCAAAATAAAATTATTGATATTTTTTTTTAACTTCAGATGCATCATTGTGCTATTGAAGATCCATCAAATGTTGTTATTTTAAATGTTAATGGCTTAGACTTACGAGAAGTAAATATTATTGCATAGTATATAATAATATAATAACTTGTATAAATTTAGGTTAAAGAAGAAGATTTTTTATTATTTGATAATGTTTTACGTATTGATGCAAATGAAAATCAATTACCATTTCGTATATATTTTTGATATAAAATAAATTGAAATATTTTCATATTGTATCCTATAGATGGTTTTAAAACATTTCCACAATTAATTCAACTTGATTTATCATTCAATCAAATTAAAAATATTAAACTTAATGTTAATGATTATGAAACACTTGAAGTAAAATAGAAATTTCTTATTATATTTAAAGATTTTTTTTTATTATCTTTTAGGAATTAAATCTTTCATATAATAATTTAACAATGCATGATATTGAAACATTAGGAATGTTACCATCATTACGTATACTTCGTGCAAGTGGAAATGATCTTGTTGGATTACCACGTCGATTAGCTAAACCTTTTGTACATACTGATACGTAAGAAAATAAGATTTGTTTTATTTTATTTTTTTAATATTTTAATTTAAATCTATTAAATATATTTTAGTATTTTGATATAAATAAACGAGGTATATTGATTAAAAAATAAAACAATTATAAGATTTTATCGATGATTATGCTCTTTTTCTTTTTCTTTTTTCTATTGATTAAATTGAATAATTGAAATTTTTAATCATATTAATTTGTATATGTATTTATTTAGACATGGAAAAGAATATGTTAAAGAACGTTTTCCTCGACTTGAAGAATTATATCTTGATCATAATAAACTTGTTGAAGATGAGCTTTTTATTCATTTATCATGTTTGAAAAAGTATGTTTGATGACAAAATGAATAGAAATAACTGGAAAAAAAAACTTTTATTTCAAATTTCATTATATCTTTTCTTTAGCCTTAAACGTCTTCATTTACAATACAATCAAATTCGTACAATTCCATTTTTAAAAGTCTTACAAGGTCGTCAAGTTGTACAAGAATATTCTAAAATAGCAATCAAACGAAAACAAATTATTACTCGTATAAAAAAATTCTTCATCTTCTTCTTTTCAATATATTATTCTTTTAGCTAATCCTCCGATGAATTATTTTCCACATGGTCTCAATTCAACTGGTGATGAATTAATAAAGAGTACAATATTTGAAGAAGATGAAGAAACTTCTACCAATAATCAAACTAAAAATATTGTCACAGACGATGAAGATATTGCATTACCAGCTTTTCCTGAATTACAATATCTTGACATAAGTTCTAATTTGGTAATTGGAAAAAAAAACAACCTATTTTAAATATGATTTTATTTTTTCATTATATAAAAGATTGAAGAAGAAGATGATGTAATGGCAGTTGCATCATGGCCTAGTTTAACTGAAATTATTCTTGCTGATAATCCACTTGTTCAGCGTCATGTTGGTTTTCCACCTTTAATCGAAAGTTTTTTAATGGATCGACTTGGAATGAAAGTTCATCGGTAGTAAAAAAAAAAAGATAACAATCATAAAATTTATTCATTTATTTTTTTATTAAATAGAATTAATCCATCTTTAAAACCTGAAAAACAATTTTATGCTAAACCAATCAAAAAACATCGTCAAGTAAATATTTTTCTTTTACTTTAAAAACAAAATCATTTAAATTCTTTATAATTTCATTAAGGTTACAAGTCATATAACTAAAGTTCCAAAAATTCCTGTTGATCAATTATTATCCGGTGCTGTTAAACAATATATTGATTATATTAAAAATGATACTGATGTTCAATCGAATCAACAATTACTTCCATTATTAACTGGTACAAGTGAACAAAATTCTTCATCAGAAGAAGATAAATATAAAACAATTGATACAACTTTAAATGGTATTAATTTTCTTTTCAAAATTTTTCTTATTTAATTATTTTATTTTTATTTTAGACGAAGATAATAAATATAATAGTAATTCAACAACTGAAGATCAAACTCCAAATCAACAAACAGAAAATATTTTTATGACTGAAGTATGTCTAATGGAATAAAAGATGAAGGAGCATA